AGCATAAGCCAGGCAAGCGAGGATTTAGAGGAAAGGATTTTTTTTTTTTTTTTTTAAGTTAAGTGCTCCCGGAAGAGATGAGTTTTCAGTTGTCTTTTGAATGTTGTCAGGGATTCTGCATTCCGGATGAGGGTGGGGAGATCATTCCACCAGCATGGAACCGTGAATGAGAATGTTCTGGAGAGTGATTTTGTGCCCCGCTGTGATGGTACCACGAGCCGTCGCTCATTGACCGATCGTAGGCTTCTGGTAGGGATGTAGACTTGTAGTAGTGAGTGGAAGTAGGAGGGAGCTGAACCTGTGGTCAATCTGTAAGCAAGCGTCAAAGCCTTGAACTTGATGCGAGCAGCGAGTGGTAGCCAGTGCAGAGAGATGAGCAGAGGAGTGACGTGGGCCCTTTTGGGCTCGTTGAAGACCAGACGAGCTGCAGCATTCTGGATCATTTGTAGAGGTTTAGTTGCACATGATGGAAGTCCAGCCAGAAGAGCATTGCAGTAATCAAGCCTAGAAATGACCAGGGCCTGGACGAGAAGTTGTGTTGCATGCTCAGTTAGGAAAGGCCTGATCTTCCTGATGTTGTGCATAGCAAACCTGCATGATCGAGCTGTCTTTGTAATGTGGTCTGTGAAGGTCAGCTGATCATCAAAGATTACTCCAAGATTTCTGACCGACCTTGATGGGGTGATTGAGGATGGATCTACCTGGATAGTGAGGTCGTGCTGTAGAGACGGATTGGCAGGGAGGACGAGAAGCTCAGTCTTTGCCAGGTTGAGCTGCAGGTGATGTTCCTTCATCCATGCCGAGATGTCCGCCAGACAGCTTGAGATCCGTACAGCTACTGTGGGATCGTCTGGTTGAAATGAGAGGTAGAGCTGGGTGTCATCAGCATAGCAATGGTAAGAGAAACCATGTGCCTGTATGATAGGGGTACCACTCATCTCCACTACAAATAGGAAAAAGAGGCTACAATTTGCAAGAGCTCACCAAAATTGGACAGTTGAAGACTGTTGAAGACTGAAATGTTGCCTGGTCTGATGAGTCTCGATTTCTGTTGAAACATTCAGATGGTAGAGTCAGAATTTGGCGTAAACAGAATGAGAACATGGATCCATCATGCCTTGTTACCAATGTGCAGGCTGGTGGTGGTGGTGGGTGTAATGGTGTGGGGGATGTTTTCTAGGCACACTTTAGGCCCCTTAGTGCTAATTGGGCATCGTTTAAATGCCACGGACTACCTGAGCATTGTTTCTGATCATGTCCATCCCTTTATGGCCACCATGTACCCATCCTCTGATGGCTACTTCCAGCAGGATAATGCACCATGTCACAAAGCTCGAATCATTTCAAATTGTTTTCTTGAACATGACAATGAGTTCACTGTTCCAACTGCTCGTTTGCTCCTCCTGCCCCTATATATATATATACACTCACCGGCCACTTTATTAGGTACACCTGTCCAACTGCTCGTTAACACTTAATTTCTAAGCAGCCAATCACATGGCGGCAACTCAGTGCATTTAGGCATGTAGACATGGTCAAGACAATCTCCTGCAGTTCAAAGGAAACACCGCCGTGTGTGGCTTTGTTTTGAACTATTTTCGTTGGCAAATAGAGCAAAAACAGGCAATATGGTGTCTAAAATGTAAGTCACTTAATATTAACTTGTTTATTAAACTTGTAACAAAAAATCAATATCACATTTGTTATCATGCTGATATTTGGAGAAAAACTGCACTCTTGTGATATTTATTACTAAATGATATAAATGAAGACAAAATCACGCAGTAAAAGCGTGCACTCTAAATGCGCACCCGCACTAGTCTAATCTACAAGACTACATCACGTAGAGTATGCATGCACTCTCTGGGTGTGTACACGATAATGTCAAATCGGACATCGTTAAAACAACAATTACGATATTATCGCAGACAATATATATCGCACACCCCTAGTTACGACTGTAACCTTGGTTCCCTGAAGAAGGAATGAGACGCTGCGTCGCCCTGCCATACCTCCTGCGTGCCTGTCAGTGACTTACTGCCTATTAGAAGCTAGCGTTGCACTGTTTGGGTATGCTTTATAGAGCTTATGTAGCCCCGCCCCTTTTCAGCACTGCGCTCGTTGTCTTTTGTCTTCCGGTCTGTATTTTTACAGCGATCTTGCCTATTTATGAATGAACGGCTCGTTTTAAAATCTTCCCGGTCCACTGACATTTGTTAAGACATCTGCTTTAAACATTACAATCCTCATGATAACTTTCGTTAACTTTACATTAAGTAAATCCACTTCAAAAGCTAATTACTCCTGGGCAGCAATGCCATAGAGATATACAGAGCGACCGCAAAAACGGAAGTTCAAAGACAATATTCTAAAGATGGCGGCGCCCTTGTTTCTTTGGTGCATAAGGTCTATAGTTTCCTGGATCATGATGTCACCCGCCTCTGATGTCCAGTCACACCATTGGACTGATTTCATAAGTGCTTCACGACGCAATCACGCAGAATGTTCCCACAGCGTTAGCCAACCTAGCGTCTCGTTCCCTCTTCAGGGAACGAAGGTTACAGTTGTAACCGAGGCGATTTCAAATCACAGTTGGGATAAAACAAGTTCTATTTGAAATGAATGATAATGCAAACGGATCGCTATATAGGAGATCTATTTAGGTATTTTAGATCTCCTTCTTCCTACCTCTGGATTGTGACTGCTAAAATAACTCCAAATAAAAAAAACTAATAAAAATGACAAAAACACAAAATTACTAAAACTTTAATTAAAACAGTTTGTAATTGTAATTAAAATAGAATTGAGCACTGTTGTTTACTACTTTTTATCAATGTTTGATATTTGGAGATAAGAAAGTATGTCATGCAAGCCTTCCCCAAAGCTACACCAAAGAAGCGTTTTCTTCTCCTCCCTTTTTTCTTTCTTTCCGAGCTTGTTGTAAGAGAAAAACTGAGAGAGGGGGATACAAAGAGTGGATTGTGTAAAATGGGTCTTGTGACAGTATTCAGGCAGCAAGGCTCCAAGGATACAGTGATGTGGGGAGCAGAGCTCTCTGCGTGTGTGTTTGTGGAGGGAAGCGCTTATCCAGTGGCCAACTCAGGCGTAAGCTGTCAGGCCCAGGTCACGTGACCGTCGTTGTCATGACGAGCAAGCGTCATCTCATGTACAATGCTCAGCCGTGCAGCTCAGCAGGCAGTCAGAGGCTTAGACTGAGCTCTACAATGAACTTACACTTCATTTCATTCTTTTTCACTGCCCTAATGTGACTAATATATTGTGCTTTATAAATGCTTAATGCTTAATCATTATCTTTGGGTAGTTGACAAATAATTAGCCAATTGTTTTTTTTTTAACCTTAAGGTTTTATATTATATTATATTATATTATATTATATTATATTATATTATATTATATTATATTATATTATATTATATTATATTATATTATAGCGTTAATACTTGTTGTCAGACAATATAATTTGAATGTGTATTTGTTTTCCATTTCCATTTGTAATCTGCAAATTTAATGTCTCTTCATCCTCACAAACCTTTACTTAAATGGAACAAAACAAGCTATAATTTTATTTAAAATGAGAAAGAAAAATTTAAAACACTTTACAATAAGTGCATTAACTAACAATTAATTACAAAAACAATTAAGGTACTGAGAAATATGATGCAGTGTCGCAATTATATTCAGTTTAGTTTGGTTTTCTGTCCTTATGTTCATTTCCTGTCTGTGTGTCTGATATGTTGCCATGGTTTCTGATTTGATTGTATATCCTGTTCAGCTGTGTTCACCTTCAGCTGTGTTCACCTCATTACCCTGTGTATTTAGTTCCTGTGTTTGAATCCTCATTTGTCCGGTATCGTCAGTGTTATGTGGTTCTACTACTTTGCCTGCCTTCCTTTTTCTGAGTTTGTTCTTTGTGTATTTACTATTAAAGACTATTTAGTATCTTTATCCTTTGGACTTCCACGAGTCGTGACAATAGGACTGTATTATCTGTTCCCTCATCTTTAACCAGTTTATTAATTCCAGGATGTGATTGAGTAGCTTCAGAGAAGATACTGACACTGTCAGTAATCATAGAAAGATATATCACATGACCTCTGACTATTATTAATAAATTAAGCTCGAAAGGGGATGGATATAAGCATCAGAAGTCAAAAAGATTCTTTTTACTCAAATTGCCATTACTCGTGCCATTTTTTTCTACAACAATACACTGTGAGACTAGAATAAAACCCTTTAAGGATGGGTCTTTAAAACTGTTTTTCCATAATAATGAATATATGATTTTTTTTTTAATGGTTTGACAAGTTTTACCCAACGGTAGCAGGTTGGCGAGGTACAGCAGAAATACTTTCACACACACAAACAGTATGACTTTATCTCCATTTAGGGTTTGATGGTGGTGGATGACTTTCAGGCCTGGCTAACTCTTAACATTTAACCCCATTAACACTGAAGCTTATCAGAGCACGGTCATTTAACTGTTGACGTCATATCATTCATGTAGATTTTTGAAATAAAGACTCGAGTCAGAATATTCTGGCCACACTTCAATATAATTAAAGTACTGGGGCTTTCAAGCTCAAAAATGACCAAAAACAAAAAACAAGGATCATAAAAATGATCCATAGTGGTCAGTTATTCCACTGTTGGAATAACTGTGGAATAACAGTTTGACATTTGACAAAATTTTGACATCCACTAGCTCTCCTTGATGTGCCATTTAGTTACAGTCAAATAACAAACTTTTAAATTATTCAATTATCACTGGTATGTGCTTCAAATGATCGATATAAATAATAGTGAATCTTTAAATTATTCAATTATCACTGGTATGTGCTTCAAATGATCCATATAAATAATTCTTTTTTACATTGCATAAAAACTTAATTCTTTTTTTATGTTGTTTATAGCCTCTAGGGTGGGAATATCTAAATATGAGGTAACCTGCATACATTTTTTGTCTTCTCTTCCTCTTGTAGGCTGGTGTCATCTATTCACGCTGTTATGGCCACCGCAGCTGGAATCATCGTGGTGTCCTCGTGCAAAGGCAATGTAATTATGGACCGGTAAGTGGACCAATCCTGTTCCACACCTTTCACAGTGCACCAATAATAAGCTTTTCTGCTGCAAAGATTATATTGTCCTCCATCTTTGTGTTAAGGTAATGATAAAGCAGCACTAGATGCTGATTGGTCAATACAGTGTACATTTGTGCTGCTGTGAACACATCTTGGTACAGTGCCTATAATAGAAATAAGGCGCCTGTCAAAGCGTATTACTCATTTCAGTAACCAATTACAATTAAATTCTACTCTAACGTTTAAATGATTAGGGTCAGTAAGATTTTTTTTTAAATAAATACTTTTATTCAGCAAGGATACATTAAATTGATGCAAAAGTGACAGTAAAGACGTTTATAATGTTTAACATATTTTCTTTTACAAAAAAAAAATGTTTCAAATACTGTTCTTTTGAACTTTCTATTATCAAAGAATCCTGAAAAAAGGTATCAGTTTTCACAAACATATTAAGCAGCACAACTGTTTTCAACATTGATAATAAAAAGAAATGTATCTTGAGCACCAAATCAGCATATTAGAATGATTTCTGAAGGATCATGTGACTGAATACTAAAGTAATGGCTGCTGAAAAATCAGTTTTACAATCAAAGGAAAAAATTACATTTTGAAATGAATTAAAATGGAAAATATTTTACTTAAAATGTAATAATATTTCACAATATTACCGTTTTTACTGTATTTTTAATATTCTCAAATAAATGCAGCTTTGGTGAGCATAAGCATAATGCAGCTTTTGGTGAATGCTTCTTTCAAAAACATTAAAAACATCTTACCAACCCCAGACTTTTCAATGGCAGTGTATATGCTGTTATGATAATACACAAATAAATGACAAAATAGGACAATTTCTCAAATCCTCTTTCTCTAAAGCATCATTACACTACATCAACAGTTTGATGTTAAAAATTGGTGTGATGTTGCTTTAAGAAGGCGGCCCATTAGACCCTACCTGCCCATGCCTTTGTTCACCTCAGTGGCGAGTCACAACAGCCTCAGGGCAACAGTGCTTACCTCTATTCCCATGCCACATCTGCTGACCCCTTTGGCTCCGCCCCCACCCCAAGGACACAGGGAGGAGGAGATTAGGTACATAAAGTCCCAGGGCAACAGCTGTTACCTTCCTATGTGCCCTTCCTCCCTCTGCCCTTCCCCGGCACTAGACTGACACCTGCAATTTCAGCCTCTGCCACCTGTTCATGTGTGCTGGGTGAAATGTGTGCGTGTGTTTGTGGCATAACAGTGTAATCCACGGAAGGCACTTGCCAGGCAAGCCTAGAGAAAACTCCCAACCACCCTGCTAATCCCCCAAAGGCTTAATACTTGGCTCGAGCACATGCACAGCCATGATCCTCAGTGACAAGGAGCATCCAGTGATACTGTGAGTGTTAAAGGAATAGTTCACTCAAAAATGGAAATTCTATCATCATTTACTCGTGTTGTAGAAATATTTCAGATATTTCACAGGATGTATAAGCTGCTGTTTTCCATCTTAGCGGATGGGGACTAGAGGAGGCTGTGGTTACCTTTCACTTTGATTATATTGAAAGGAACAGCTTGAACATTCTGCTAGATAACTCTTTTTGTTTTCCACCCAAGAAAGAACGTCATACAACAAAAAAACAAAAACTTAGATTTACACTATCGTTCATAAGTGTGGGGTCTGTAGAATTTTTTCATGTTTTTGAAGTAAGTCTGTTATGCTCACTATGGCTGATCAAAAATACAGTAAAACAGCAATATTGTGAAATGTTAGTACAATAATTATTACAATAACTTTTCTATTTTTAATATATTTTAAAATTCCAGTGATGGCAAAGCTAAATTACTCCAGTTTCAGTGTCGCATGATCCTTCAGAAATCATTCTATTATGCTGATTTGGTGGTCAAGAAACATTTCTGATTATTATTAATGTTGAAAAGCTGTGCCACTTAATATTTGTATTGAAACGATAACATTTTTCATGTTTCTTTGGCAAATAGAAAGTTCAAATCAACAGCATTTATTTAATGCATCCTTGCTGAATAAAATATTAATTAATTAATATTCATTTCTTAAAAAAAAATCTTACTGACCCCAAACTTTTGAACAGTAAGTTACATGGGATGCATACGATTATACAAACGATGGTACTATACAGAATGTTTTCCGTATGAAGGAAGTGGATGGGGATTTATTCTGCCAAACTCCAAAAAGATGAATGAAATCACCATAAAAGTATCCTAAACAAATTATGTGCTATATTCCAAATCTTCTGAAGCCTTTATGCATGCTGTTTGTTGATATGTGTGGATGTTAATTTGCATATCTATCATAATAATTTGCCTAAGGTCCAAGTTTTTTGTACCTTAACTATTAGGTTTTCTTTTAGCTTGTTAATATGAAAGATAAATACAGTTCTTGAGAAAGAACATTGTGAATCTTATATTTACCATATAATTGATGCATATCTCGTCTGTGGTGTGTATGAACAGTATAGAAATGTCCCAGGTCAGTGTAGCTGTAAGCTCTGTGGTAATTAAAGAATTCACCAGTAATCACATGTGCAAAGTCTGTGGATCACAGTGACTTTGCTATAGGTTATCCAATACAAACACACACACACATATGCTTACTTAGATATAAAAAATGAGTACATATCTTAGACTTCTGCTGTTTTTATATAAAGGTAATAATTAAAGATGACTAAGTCTTACCCTGCCCGGCAGCCCCCAAAACACATAGTAAATGTATAATGTGAAATCTAATTTGGACAATAAAAAGCCTGTAGCCTATTTAAAATTGCAACTAGATAATGACATAATGACATGTGGTAAACAAACATATGACACATTTTAGCCACACCTTACAGAAAACTTTTTTAAGTTTTAAGTCTGTTTCAATCCACACCCTCATGAAGGCTCTTTAAGCTTTTTTGTCAATTATAATTTTGAATGTTACAGTTCTATTTGAATAAAGAACTCTTTAATATATTGCCCCACATGAGTGCTTTAGATCCCTTGTTTCTCAGTGGTATGCTTATGCTAAGCTATCAGATGATAGAACAGGTGAAAGAATGTCATAGCCTTAACTTGAAGAAGTGACCTGAATCGTATCAAAGAACCAAAATATCATAGAGACTGGTGGGGGATGGACTCTTTTTAAACGTGGGCTTGTAAGAAATCACCTTTGAACCTCTTATTAAAGCTGCAGTCCGTAGCTTTTTTGGGTTAAACATTATCCAAAATAAATTTTTGAGCAAATACATAACCAGCCAGTGTTCAAAACTATCTGCTTGCCTTAGCTCGATTCAAAACGGTAAGCTTGGGAGATTCCACGGGAGATTCGAGCACGTCTTTGCGTCATTACGTCACATCTGTACACATAAAGAAGGAGTCTCGGCTAGTAGGCTATATTACGTGTGAGGATGCTGCAGGTGGAGATTTATAGTCTTTTCTCACTGCACTTGATATAATTAAACTTATCAATTTGATGGCGGATCCAGAAAGGTTCAAACGACAATTACCAGTGACAACTAGAGATTCACCCGTTGTAAAATGCAAAAGGCTTCGGAGTGGCTACAGAAAAAAAAAGAGACTGCAACCGGGCCCATGCGAAAACAAGGATAAATATCGGAAGGGCATTAAATGTAGTCACGCAATGCTAATGTTGAACATTAACAATTTGAGAACAAAGTATAATTTGCATGGTTTTACGTGATATGATAAGCGATTGTTAGATTTAATCAGCGTAATTTACTGCAATGATTTTTTTCCCTTAGTTTGTCAGAACCAGAACAAAAGTGGACTTACTTGTTCAGATGACATTTTCCGGTGAAAATTATTATGTTGGTCATACTTCCAAAAAGAATAGTCTGTGATTCTGAATGCCAGTATCCACACCGGCGCGGTGACTGACAGCCGCACACTCTCCTCAAACATTGGTTTCATCCGCGCTGTGCAGTGTCGAGGCACAACTCGCGTAAAGTTGATAATTCCGTGAATAACTGCAATTGCAGATTTCGAACAGAGATGGCGACAAAGAGGAAAAACTGCGGACTGCAGCTTTAATATAAAGCATTCTCATGTTTCGGACAACTTGGATCATGTACATTTCCCGGAGCAGCTCACTCTGTGTCCTCCTCTAGTTTCCATATGTGTTTTGTCCATAGAAATGGGTTATTCACTACTGTAAATAAACTTTACTGGCTGATGGTTTCCCAGGCACAGCGCACAGATGCGACTAATCGATAATCAAATTAGTTGTCGATTATTTTCATTATCGATAATAATTGTTTTTATTGATTAGTTGTTGCAGCCTGTGACTTCTGTGTCACACAATCCTTCAGAAATCATTTTAATATGCTGATATGATGCTTAAGAAATATTTCTTATTATTATCAATGTTGAAAACAGTTGTAATGTGCTGCTTAATATTTTTGTGAAAACCGTGATACATTTTTTCAGGATTCTTTGATGAATAAAAAGTTCAAAAGAATAGCATTTATTAGAAATAGGAAATCTTTTGTATTAAGAATAATGTATTTACTGTCTCTTTTGATTAATGTAAATTTATTAATTTCTTTTCAAAAAAAGTTTTTACTGAACCCACACTTTTGAAATAAAAACTTATAGAATACTTAAAAAAAAAAAAAAGTGTTTTTTAGAAGATGAGACTAAGCATATTTTTTATGTTTGTTTGAAATCACTCCACACATGATTTGTTCACCTATTCTGTTCATTTTCTATTCCAGACACTGGCTGACCACCTATTTTGTCATTTGGTATGGCGTTCCCTACATGTCATATGACATCTTCGCCATGTACCTCAGCCATTACTATCGCTTCCGGGTCAAAGGCCACAAGGACTATAAAAGCCACTCTCTACGAACCGTCAACTCATTTGTGAGGAAAGAGTTCCTGCTGGTCCTCCATCACATTGCACTACTCTCCATTCTACTGCCTGTGACTCTGGTGAGAGAGAGGACAGAAATACAGGGATAGAGACTCGGATGAGTGATATGACAACCAATAATATGACGGGAGAGAGTAATGGGCCTTCTCAAATAACCACCTCCACCTATAGCCAGGACCAAATGGGAGGGAATGTAAAAAGGGGAATGCAGTGCTTTTGTGTCCTTTAAGTACCTGATTCTATGAGAAACAATTACCTTAATAGCAGCTGTTACACTGCCAGGGTACATGCAGTGGGACAGACACACACACACTGGTGGAAACCTGGTCTTTTGTTTGGTGTCTCTGGGCTGTCAGTGGTGATATGAGATCACTTTACCCACGCTTCCATTATTCACACACAGCTGCTACTCAGATACCACCTCACAAACACGTTGCTTTGTGCTCCTGTTCCACAAAATGTCCCACGAGTCACAAACGTGGACAAACAGATTTTGACATGCATGGTAATAACACAAATAAGGACAAGACCCAGACCACCACAACAAAACATCTGACTTTTATTCAAGATACAAGATATATAACAATTTACTTCGTTGAAATATATATTATTTAATACATTACTATACACAGTAATGTTTAGTAAGGCATTTTGCATTGACAAAAAGGATGTATAGATAAATAAAATATAGGTAAATATTATAGAAGCCATTGACTTCTCCCAAACCGTGTAGTTTAAGATTGCGCTTCAGGTTAGCGGGAAGGGTTCAGGTGGCTGTTCTAACTGGTCATTCTTATCTTGTTACATTTATACACACATTACACACCTTTGATCCACCATATCCAGCATTGTATAACAAATACATATGATGTGGACCATTTGCAAAACTAGAAATTTCTAGACATTATCTGCATCTGTGTAAATTCCATTCTCTCCATTTTGTCTAGTGTTATCTTTGTTTTTGCTCATGAGGGTCAGTTTCACTTTGTTTGTCTTTTAATTTAGTATTGCCTATAACTTTATTGTAGCTTGATTTGAACAGTTACTTTAGCCTATGATTTCTAGCAGAACACTGACAGCCAGGGAGGTGTGAGCTGTGATGTAGAGCCTGATTTGTCACTAGGACTGTAAATATTTTCTCTGACAGTGGTTTATTTCGATTACGATTCTTTATTTATGGTGTAATGATTTAGGATTTGATAATAGTTTGTTTGTATTAGCTTATTTTACTCATTTTAAGTTTTATTTTATTTGAATACATTCAATAATTATAATATACATTTTATTAATTATAATGAATATAAATTTAAATTCTTAAAAATGTAATATATAATGTTTAGTTAATAATATAAACATAAATATGCCCAAATGTAACTGGAGGGACACTGGAAGTAGATTGGGTGTCTGGATTTTTTCAGAAAATATGTGAATTTTTTTGTGCGTGAGAAAAAAAGGCGATACTGTATTCAAATGTTTTGGGTCAGTAAGATTTTTTTTTAAAAAGAAATTATGAACTTTCTATTTATCAAAGCATTGCTAAAAAATATTTCACAAAAGTATTAAGCAGCACAACTGTTTTCAACACTGATAATACTAAGAAATGTTTCTTCAGCACTAAATCATGGTTATTTAATTTTGAAGAAACATTTCTTAGTATTATCAGTGTTGAAAACAGTTGTGCTGCTTAATACTGTTGTGAAATTAGAATGATTCTGAAGGATCATGTGACACTGGAGACTGCAGTAATGAATGCTTTGCCATTTTTAAAAATCTTACTTGACCCCACATTTTTAATGGTAGTGTAGGCATTACATTTTCATTATCAGATTGATGCATTACATATTATTTACACCCTTATTGTTCACATAGTGTGTGTGTTCATGTTTGTGCTGACTGTGGTTTTTGGTCTCTTTGTGTACATCAGTTCTTCAGGAAAGACCAGGGTGATTTCTTCATTGGCTGTCTCTTCCTCACAGAGCTCAGCACTCCTTTTGTTTCAGTGGGCAAAATCCTCATTCAGGTAACACATGCACACACTCTCACAAACAGATTGTGTTTTACTCAGCTGTCCTTCACAGTGCTGCACAGGAGCTGCCAGTCAACACTTTTCCTGTTTCCTTTTAGTAAAGATAAATGGTTAAATACAGAGATGGAGGTCTGTCAGTGCAACAAACAATCAAAGCATATAATAATAATGAATAATTTGCATGGTTTTACCAATCAATCAATCAATCAATCAATCAATCAATCAATCAATCAATCAATCAATCAATCCCTTTGTACCAAAGTAAAAATTGTGATTTAAGTAGACTAAAAAAACTATTTTTTTAAAAGAATTATCTTGTTTACTAAGGCTGCGTTTATTTGTTTAAAAAAGTAATATTGTGAATACTATTTTGATTCAAAATACTTTCTTTTTGAAATATATTTTAAAATGTAATTTATTCCTGTGATGGCGAAGCTTAATTGTCAGCAGCCATTACACCAGTCTTCAGTCACATGATCTTTCAGAAATAAATTGAATATGCTGATTTGGTGCTCAAGAAATATTTCTTATTATCAATGTTGAGAACAGTTGTGCTGGTTAATATGTTTGTGGAAACTGTGATAAAAAAAGATTTCAGGATACTTTGATGAAGAGAATGTTCAAAAGAACAGCATTTAATTGAAATAGAAATCTTTTGTAACACTATAAATGTCTTTACTGTCACTTTTGATTGAATGCAGCCTTGCTGAATTTTTTATTTTATTTTTTATTTTTATTTTGAACATGTAAGAAAAAAATATATATATATACAAACATGCATACATATATAAAATTAAAATAACGGCTATATAAAATCATGTACTTCTCAGCACAATCTTCCAAAATTATTGTAAGTAATTCAAATTAGAATTTCCCATGTTCAAAAAGGAGTAGGAAGAAGTTCATAACAAACTTTTCAGGTCCTACCCCCTATCTCTATCTTTATCTTTTAATTAAGTACAAAACAAATTGATGCTTCTCATTCATTAATAAAATAAAAGTATTAATTTCTTTAAAAAAAAAACAAATATAAATAAATATATATATATATATATATATTACTGACCCCAAACCAAATCAATGAATGCAGCCATAATGGTGGTGTATGATGGGGAAATAAAAATGTACTGCATAACAGCTTTCCCCTGGATGAAGCATTCCGTCTCTCTACTCTGTATTTTTCAATAATTGCTGATTCTTGGTCTTTGCTTGTTTGGAGAGATTAGGTGAAATTGTTTTCAGACATGCACCACTTATGTGCCTCCACATGCCTCCTTTTGGTAGTCATGGGTATTACATTTCAAAGCAGTCCCAGCGTCTTTGCAGTTACATTTATTATTTTTTTGCCAGATGATTGACTAAGTCTGGTCCACTTTGCAGTTTTTTCTGACAATGGACTGTTAAACAGGATGATACTGACATGTGAAAAGAAGATATTTTAAAGAATGTTTGTAACCAAACAGTTTTGGTGCCCATTGACTTCTATTAGATGGACAAAAAACAACAACAACAACAATGAAATCTGATAAAATCTGATGAAATTAATTAAATCTGAGAGATTTCTGTCCCTCCATTGAAAGTCCAGATAACTAACTTAGAGGATCCATAGACATCATAAAGGCATCCTAAAACTAATCCATATTTATCGAGCAGTTAAATCCAAGTCTTGTAAAGAGTTATGATCACTTTATATGATGAACAGATTTAATTTAGGCTTTTATTTACATCTAAACAATGATTGACACACATACATAGAGAAACATCACACATGGTAAACACAGAAGCTCAAAGATGTGGGTGATGTGTGAGATCCAATGAGGTTCTAGCGTGTGATGCCCACATGAGTCTCTGTGTTTACCATAAGTGGTGCGCTATATGTATGTGTTTATATGTGAATAAAAGCCTATATAAATCTGTTCATCATATAAAGCGATTGTATCTCTTCACAAGACTTGGATTAAAACGTATGATTCATATATATTCATTTACAATTGACTTTTAAGATTTGGTTACCTGGACTATTAATGGAAGGACAGAAACCACTTTATTAAATAAAATCTTGATTTGTTTTTTTAAAGATTAAAGTCTAAGGTTTAGAATGACATGAGGGTGAATAAATGATGTCAGAATTTAAATTTTTGTGTGAATTATCCGTTTAATGTTAACCCTGTTTTGCCCACATCTTCCTCTCATTCTTCTCTGTTGACTGTCTCTTCCTGTAGCTGGGGTTGCAGGAATGCTGGCTGCACAAGGTTAATGGCGGCATGGTGTTGCTTAGTTTCTTCTTGTTCCGCATCGCACTCTTCCCCTACATGTACTGGGCCTACGGCTCCCACTACGGCATCCCCCTCTACAGTGTTCCCTTCCATCTGCCGCACTCCGCCAACCTGGGCAACCTCTGCATCCTGTCGCCGCAGGTCTACTGGTTCGTCCTTCTCTGCCGTAAAGGCTTCCGACTCTACAAGCGTCAGCGGGATGCTCAGAACCAGGTCTCTCCGCTGTCCTCGCCCGAGCCTCTCTCAGATATCTCCAAGGCTGATTAGTGAAGGTCTTTATCTAAAACAAACAATCAACCAACGTCACAGCTCAAGGCTACGGCACTGCATCTACTACTGTTACAGTACAACCAAGACTTCATGTTAGACATACCCTTATTGCTTCTCTTCATTTTACTCTTCTCTGCTTTACTCCATTCCACGCACACACTCACATTTACATGTTTGACCGTTACAATGCCCACTCCACTGGATTTACTGCAGTGACCTCCAGGGAACATCTTTTAGGTCAGTTATCGAGGGCCAAGACCCTCTCTTCCTTCTCTGATTGAAGTATCTGTTACAGTTTGGACTGATGTCTTTAAATGTAATTGGAATTATGTGTTACTTTTTTGTTTTAGAAATTCTTGTTTTAGAAATTCTTGCCCCTGTGTGCTTAAAGTACAAAAATACACTGGTTTAAAGGAGGGAAATTATTATGTGAGTGGCACAGCCATCAGTATAATGAATTCATCAGATTAGTCCCACAGTATTTCAGGTCACATCCGAACAACTTTTCACATCACTTCCCACTCGGCGCAAAGCTCCGATCACATGGTAAGCATTTCCATGGCTGCAGTGCTGCTGTTCTTGTTTACAGCTCATTAGAGTTCTGTGAATGTGTTTGCACACACACACTGCCCTGCTGTGACTGTTTACACTCCTCTAACACACACCGCCCCACACATGCTCTGGAGGCTGCTAATGAATTCTGCTTCGCTTCTGCGGGCCTTTTGAGAATCATCCTCCCATCCACATGGGGGCAGTAGAGAGTTGGTCTTTGTTTAAATCAGGGATGGGCAACTTCGGTCCTGGAGGGCCAGAGTTTATCTCAAACCCTGTTTAAAAATAAAACTCACCTGCCTGCAACTTTTTTGTAATCTGTAAGACATTGATTAGCTTGCTTGGGGGTGTTTGATTAGGGCTGGAGATAAACTCAGCAGGACAGTTGCCCTCCAGGAACAAAGTTGCCCATCCCTGGTTTAAATGGGAGACACAGGACTCGAGTCTATAGGGGGATGGGGTCTTTGCAGGGTACAAAGAGTGAGCACATAACGCTTGGCATATCTTTTAGGCCACATTATGCCCAAAGGCATCTCCAGGCAGTAGTCAAAGCAATAACACAGGGGGCTTCAAAGCCAGGGATTGTGGGTAATTGGATGGCTCATGTGAACACATGGGCAAGGATAGAAAAGTTGCAAGCCACCTACTCTGAAAACTGATCTTTGTATATCCAAAGGGCACAATCATTGGTTCTTATGGTCTTGGGAAGATGATGTTTATGATTTTCATGTGTGGGACAGTCATTGGTAATCTTTAAAATTCATAATTTCAGTAGTTATTGTTTTTTTTTGTTATGCTCAGCTCTTTGGAGGAATATTTTTTTTTGGCTATAAATCACTTTTTATGATTGCTATGTCTACTAAATAATTTCTAGAAAATTATATCCAGTAATCATGGAAAAAGTCCGAAATTTGCTGGTCAAAAGATGTGGGAACTCGTAATAGTGTCGTGTTTGTGAGTGTGAAGTGTGAAATGCTCTTGACTTGGGGCATGAATTTTCTATGAATCTTTCTATTAACTGAGCCTACAGTTTGAGTTGTAGATAAACAATTGTATTTATTTCTATATTTTTGAATAGTGCAGTATAAATGGGTGATTTTCTGTTGCTTAGGATCATTTTTAGGGATAATCTGTGGCACATGAGAGCTTGTGTAAGTGTAGCAAGGAACTCAGAAGCCTTTGTTTCAGGGCTTTTAACATAACCTGCAGCATCTTTCATAATACATTTAGTGAATGCTGGGTGGCGTATGAATGCAACTAACAGTTCTAGATTCCATTAAGCATTTTCAGAAGTGCAGAACTGTCAAATTAAAATGTTGCTCAGTACGTACCCGTGCACTCTTGTTTAGTGTGTTTCTAAGACAAACTGGACCTAAAGGTTGCCTTTAGCAAGTGTGTTTGTGTGCGAGAGACAGAAAGAAGACTTATGTAACAGTGTGTTTAAGCTCCCAGCTCATTCTTTAGGAGGTTGAACGGGGTCTTTTCTGGACTGAAAGAGAGAGAATGCATGTTTTGCTCTCCATTTCTAAAGCTTTAGTACTTTTCAAAACTAACTATGCAGTCTTTCAAGCTGCTGCTTCTTGTCTATGGCAACACTATGCTTTCTTTAGTTTTGCTTAGGTAGGATGCATCTGGCAGTTGAGTTGGCCATATTAATCATAATGCATGTTATGTTTCTGATATTTTCATTTTTTTTTTCCACTAGTATATCATGTCAATGCTTTTCTCAGTTGGAGTGTAGTCTGTTACAGTACGTTTTTCAAATTTTTCACCCTTTCATTTTCAGAATAGACTGTGTCTATTATATATACACTAAATGGCCTAAAGCATGTGGACACCCAACGAGCATTTAAAAATCAAATCAATGGGCATTAATTAGGAGTTTGTCATTCCTTTGCTGCTATAACATCTTACATTCTTCCCAAACCGTCGAACAAAGTTGGATGCACACAATTATGTTAAATGTCATTGTATGGTGTTGATTTGTTTTAACTTGAATCAAGGGGTCTATTGTTAATTATAAAAGGGATGTCCACAAACTTTTGGCTGTGTAGTGTAATCCTAGAATATATGAACAGGTTTGTTTTGAAATGCATGGAACATTACCATAAAACACTAAATGTACTGTCCAACAGGTTTATTTATGCCACACTTAACCTTTAAATCATAGTGCAGTGTATGATGCTGATAATCTTTTCTTAATTTTTTTTTTTTTAAATAATAATACAATTCTAGTGTCTTCAAGGCCTCCTCTCTCAGCTCAGGGTTTGATAAAGACGTTATCATTTATCAATTATTATTTAGAGATGAAAGATGAGACTGTGATTAAAAAGGATTTACATAAGACACATTTATAATTGAAAATATCTTTTCCAACACTTTTTGGGTTTGGTAGACCAAAGATTCTTAGGCACTTTTTATAGACAAGTGACATGTAGCTAAACTGTCTGAGACTCCACATCATTTCCTTTTCCTTGCTCAACATCCACAGAGGGTCAGATCTCTACAGGACTGGCTGATAGCTCAGGCAAAAAGACTGGAATTCCTCTTACTGGAATATTTGGCTAAGTTTATGTTGTTTTACTGTAAATTACAAACTGGGTGAATCTGATGAAAACATGTCCAGATCATATTTCACCCCCAAAAGCAGTAAATAATCAATAAATAAAATTAAAATGAACATTAAGCCCTTTTTTTTCCCAAAAGTCCACATAAAGATAGTATGAGAAATTATCATGTTTAATTGCCATAAAAGAAAATCAAAAAAGGCTTAATGGTCATGAAATGGACAAACATTTTCTGAAATATGATCCGGACATGCTTTAAACAGGTTTTGTGAGAAGGACAGAAGTTGAGAAATAAGAGGTGTAGATGTTCAGGAATGTTATCAGCTGCTCTGATTTTTAATACATATCAAAACTAGACTGGAGTCTTGCTGGTTTGATGGGTGCTTTGTTTGGAGCTTTATAGTTTCCTGTAAATGGATGTCACAGAGGAATGGACGAAGGCAAAATATATGCATAAAAGTCTGAGGATAGAAAATTGAGCTATATTAAATATAATATCTATAAAAGTTTGGTTTAACCCCCAAATTATGCGTTGTCTGGAATATCGTAAAATACAGTGCCTTGTATTAAAGTTGTGTGTGATATTGACACAAGCTCAGTGCACAGCAGCCCTGGGCAGGTGGTGTTTTAGGTTGTGACTGTCTCTTCTCACACTTTTGTTTTATGTTCATTAGTACATTACACAAAAAATAAGAAAAATCTCAGCATCATCAGGCACAGTGTACTGTACACTTTTAACCCTTTATGCTAGTAGGTTTTATTTTATGTTTTTTGAATAAATTGTTACAGCTAACTTTGTCTTTAAAACATGCTAAGTCTTAAAATTGTTTTAAGTGAGGTTCTGTTTGCTTGCCGTGTTGTCTTTATATTTGCACTCTTAGAGTTGATTTAAAGAAAATCTAAACTCTAAAGGTCTATAATGTTACCCAGTTTTCTGAACTGCATCCATTCCTCATGAAACAGACATGATTCGACAATGTATTGGCACAATCTTAGGCCGGTTTAAATCCATGTTACACATCTGCTCGGTTTTGATTTTTGCATGGGTTGCATCTCCAAACTCAATTCAGCATTATTAACTCTTGTTTAGAGGCCAGTGGGAAAGGAAACTTTTCAGAGAACTGGGAAGTAGCCAGAAAGCATGTTTGCATTATCCGTTTCCTGCTGAGGAAAACTCATTTCCTTGCTATGTCAGCTTGACCTCAAAGCATGATTTCATTGTGGTTTCCTAATGCACAACCTTTAGCACTCCCTGCCTCTTATTTTTGATCACATTTTGATTTTCACACATATATTATATCAGATGTCATATAAATATATAGTTTTCTGTTTGTTTGTAGGATGACATTTTAAGAACTCTCCTTTTAGAAAGGGGATACAGAGTGAAACTAATATAAACACTTGATTGAGCTTATTTTCTTGAAACTTGTAAATCCAAACACCACTTTGGAGAAAATAAATCTGATTTGGTGAATTCTTTTAAACTGAGCTGCCTTTGTTTACTAAGAAGCTGTGTGTTAACATTTCACTGATACACAACATAACACAGGCAACAAGTGAAAAAAATCTAAAGAATTTATGACCCATTACACTACGAACTTCAATAAATTCTTGATGCCACTTTTTATTTTTAAGGTGTAACACTATACATTTTATCTTGCTTCGCTCAGAGGATCAACCAGCACAAAGCATAACATTTTCAATACAATTATGTACAAATAATATCCTAGGAGGTTTTCAGATCATCAGATGGCCTGAGACAGAAAGGTCAAGACATCCCTTAGATTGTACGAAACTTCTGCTCGAGTTTGTTGTCCTATTGGTCCACTCAGGCAACCTAATCTCTTCTGGAGGGATGGGACACCTCTTGATTGGTGGCAGAGAGGAAGATTGCACAATGTCCACCCCCGTGATAATGTCTTCCAATATACTGTGAGGAATACACAACAGTACATGGTAACAGTCCTGAAGCTGATGTTCATCTGAGATAGTATTCAATGGCAGCAGAGAAAGCAGCAAAACCTCCACAGCCCAGAACTCCAGCTTTAAGACCAGCTAGTGAAGAGAGGAACAGCTTATTTATATAGTCCACATAAATGACCACACATCTAAATCCTTTCTATTCTTTAAACCCAAGTTCAAAAATTACCTCTGAACCCAATGGCACCTCCTGTAACACATCCACTGTATACTGCATTTTTCCAGTCAGATTTCCCACGATGCTAGAAGAGAGAAATAAATCCATTCTTTACACAGAAGATCAGTACTGAAAACATCCTACAAGGAATGGATGAGTAGAAAGACCGCTCAAATACAGAACCACTTGGTGGCGCCATTAATCCATATTAAACTGAGCATTATTTAGAAACAAGTGAGTTGAATGTGAGTTGATGTTATTATAGTATTTCATACAGTTTACATCAGTATATAAAATATGATCGATTTTATAATGGTTACTATTCTAAAATAAGTCATCTTTTATTACGTATGTGGCAGACAAATGCGACCTCCGGAGGACGCAGCCTATGAAATGACACCGTGATCGAAAGTCGACGTTTGAATATGCAATGCATTTTGGGAAGTGAAACACTAAATAACTGGTTGTTTTTAGACAGTGAATTTGACAGATTTGTTTTGCATGAATAAAAAATTAATAATCATGTAAAACATACATTTTACATTTACAAATATAATAAAAATGTGTGCTATTTCACATGCAACAAAATGTTTCATTCAGCAGTAATATATTAGAAAATTCTTCCTAGGACTTAAAAGTTGTCACCATGTGAAAAAGTGTGTTTATTTAGTCTCAACCTCAGACGTCATGCCCACCGGCCATTGGCTGAACATCTGATGCATAAGGCATACAAAATGGTAAACACTTCGAAAGTTTTGAAATTGTCATCTGATTGGTTTCCGTCTGGAAACGAAGCTGTTGTTACACCAAACCCCCTCATGGAAGAAAGCAGTGACAATGAGAGTTTATCAGCATCAACTCAACACTGGATTTTTAAAAATGTTAAGTTCACGGCATTGACTTTTTAAAAGCTGTCCATGAGTTTAGCTTGAGGCACTAGTCGAAACGAAAAATAGATATTTGAACCGACTGGATATTGGAAGAATATTATTTTCCAAGCAGGGCCGACCTTTTGCCAGCACTTGGAATGATTCCCAAGTGATCCAATTTTATTAGTTGTGAGCCCTCTCACATTGATTATGAAAGATCAGGTAACCGAGAAGGGGATATCAGCAGTATATGTGGGGTAAACATGAAAGAACAGACGCTGACATCGCAGCTGGCCGATTCAATCATGTGTTCGGTTCTCCCGAACTGCTTGTTGGCATTAAAAAGTGGAAGGATATGCTCCAAACAGATGTTTGCACAACATTCTTGAATGAATGATCTATGGCTGCACGGCAGTCTGTTATTGTAGGGAAATCAACTACATTTTCACACCCCTAAGCATGACTCTAAACATAAACTGTGATTGGCTGCTTTTACACGTCAGTCAGACAGCCTCTTGGGGCGGTTCTTAGCAAATAAAAGCTGCAATGAGAGTCGAAACCTTCTGCTGTCAGTCTGAAGGTCTGGCTACGTGAGACTAGAGTTTATTTGATAAGAGAAAAAGGAGATGACACAATGGAATGTAGTCGGACAGACAAAATAAGACAATGGTACTTACTGATTCTATGAGACACTCCGTGCATGAAAACATTGCACCCACAATGGCAAAGTTTTTAGCATATGACATTCCTCTCTGCCCCATGTCTCTCAGCACCTCCCTTGCTGTAGGGGTCCTTAAGGGGTCTTTGGGATCAAGACCAACATTAGTGTCAATTCCGGCTGTGAAGACACCAAAAGCTCCTCCCAACACAAACCCTAAAAGAGAGAAATGTTGATTTAGAGCTGTTGATTTTGATCCTGATTTGAATATTGATATTGAGATCACAAAACCCCTTACATTTGAATTACCATCCACATATGAATTATTAACATATTGCGAAACTCAATAAATATTGCAATATAGTATATGGCTTTGCATTAATCAAGTATTTTAGTATTAACATACCACAGTATGGTCAATACTTGAGCCTATACTGTGTTCATTGATAAATTGTTGAACTGTCAAACATGACAACACATTTATTTGATCAGGTAACTATGCAACCAGTGTAAAACGTGTTAAATGTATATCAGATAAATACCTCCGACACATGCTATGAGTGATTTAAACGCGCAGCTCTCCATTCCCCTCTCGATCATCTTCTCCTCCTCTGTTTTCCGAGGACTCGGTAAAGCACCCATAACGGTCGGGTTCAAGTCTTTAATCTGTCTTTTGTCACCAATAAGGTGATCCAAAAGAAGACTATACTGTAGTGGAACATTTTCCGCAGATAAAACAGTTGCCGATTGGCCTGTAGCAACTGAGAGTGATGCATCCGTGCTCTCTGAGGGCGCAGCCATGTTAAAACCAAGCATGTTTCAGTCACGTTACGAGAACGTTAAACAAGAGCACATTCGTCAATATTCATTCGAAAACCGACCAAATAACATAAATCACACAGCTTGGTTATTTTTAAAGTCCCGCATATACTCAAAATAACATGTGTGTTCCCCATGCAACATTTACATAGTCATTTCTAATAATAATGATGATAATAATAATTGGTTTTGCAGATTCGACAGAAAGGGAGGTGACCTTTGCATTGGCACTGACCTTCCTGAGAGGTTCAGAATATTTTATATAACGATAATACAAGCTTTTTATGTCTTCTGAATTTTAAAATGATTTACTTTTCTTAAAGCTACGTCTACGTTGTTTACTAAAGATACTTTGAACAATATTATTATTTCCCTATATATTCTATAAACAAAGAAGCTTGAAATCAAATATAAAAATGAAATGCAGATACAATTTATTTCTTTATATATATATCACACAGCTTGTTAAAACCAAGCATGTTTTGGTTTTAACATATATATATATATATATATATATATATATATATATATATATATATATATATATATATATATATATATATATATATATATGTTACATATATGCATATATATATATATATATGTTAAAACCAAAACATGCTTGGTTTTAACAAGCTGTGTGATATATATATATACACACACACTATTCTTACTACGCCAACTACAATACCCAGCGTGCCCCTCGTTCACTGCACCAAATGTCGCGCGCTCCATCTGGCGGAGAAGTTGGTTTTGGCGCTCGAGCAGCATCTTGGTCAGTCAGTTGGTAGCAGCGACCAGCGGCGCTCCTCGGCGTCAGGGAACAGGTGAGTAGGTGAATATATATCAGGGTTTTTTTTGTCTAGGAGATTATATTGTCATTGCAGTGATTCCGTTTAATTTCTTTTATCACTTCAATATATAATTTATTGTCGTCATTGGGGAAAACACTGTACTTACCCGCACTTTTATCAACGGATGTTGTTTTCGTATTGCGCGCGAGAGTGAATGAGCTGCTGTTTTAAACGGTGATCGCTGTCTGGCTGATGGGCTTTCTCATCGGCTCTTTAGTATGATAAGGATAGCGATTTAAAGCTCACATTATATTGCGTTTATTTTATATTATTTCCGCTTGATGTCTTCTCTGGATAGCGACACATTCAGTGGTGAGATACTGCAGTAGTTCTACGTTGAGAGCTGTGTGAACTAGAGACATAAGACTCCAGTCACTACGGAGATGCATTGCATATGGATTTGACATGTCATATGTAACAGTAAATTATTTGGCGAACAGTGTTTGTTAAATTACTGTGTTAAATTACTGTTGGCGAACAGTGTTTGATTATGATTCAGGCAGCATTATAGGTCAGAAATCAGATTGGATCGGAACACTATATTATGCAGTTCATCTGGTTGAAGATCAGAGTTATCACGCGTATGGTGATGAGTTTGTTGAGGATAGGGGTGGGCGATATGGCAAAAATATATCACGATTTTTTTCAGGAAAATCACGATTAACGATTTTATCACGATTCTTTTTCATGTTGGTTTTACTATTTTGCAAGTGACTGAGCATTACAGCCAAACTAATGTCCCTATTTTAAAAAAAGCCTTATAGGTAACAAAAGAAAAAAGAATGGCAGACATTTAGGCCAAAGTGGCGAAGATAAAAATCTTTATCATTATTTTCTTTGTTATTAAGAATTAGGAACAAAGATACACATTAAGCATACACAACTTAATATACAAATTAAATAAACAGTGCTTTATTTTTTCAGCTACAGTAGGGGTATTTAACAGTAGCATTGAAGAAAGTAATTAGGCTAAATGAACAAATACGAAAATAAAACACAACATAGACTTCACTGTATAAATGATACATTGATTATTATTAAAGCTACTACTAAAGTTCTCAGTCAAGAGCAGTGAGTGATTTCCTCTTTGTGTTTTGTTGTTTTATTAACATTAAAGGGATAGTTCTCCCAAACATTTTAATTGTCATCATTTACTCTCTCAAGTTGTTTTAAACCCGAATAAGTTTCTTTCTTCTGTTGAAAATAAAAGTTATTTGGAAGAATGTGGGTAACCAAACAGTTGCTGTACTCCAGTGACTTCCATAGTATGTTTTCCTACTATGGAAGTCAATGGGGACCAGCAACTGTAGGGCTGCACGATTTGGGCCAAAATGATAATCACGATTATTTTTATCAATATTGAGATCACGATTAATTATCACGATTATTTGTTGATTTTAACCAAAACAAATGTTATTGTCACATAGGCTAATTATAACTGCTTTCACATTATGCTACATTCCTGCTAATGTACAACTATGTGCATCAAAATAAAACAGGTCCTCTTATTCACCAAAATTCAGTGCATCTCTTTAAAGAATAAATAAAAACAAATAAAACAATAAAGAAAATGTAGCAAAACTTCAACAGGGCACTATTTTACATTGTGTAAATATAAAATAAAAATATAAACTTGCATTGTACCTGCATAATGGATGTGAATAAAACGCACAAAATATACAATCAATAAAAAACAAATATTCCATAACAGAATGTAACCAAATGAGAACATTTCAAGGCAGAACTAAGCACTTAGCACTATGGAAGTTCGATTAATGGATGAAATTCAGAGTCATTGTTATTTGACGCTTAAGAAATGTAAAATGTTGTGGTACAGTGTCAGTGATTAGTCTTACTGCATAAATTGAATCTTATTTAATCCTCCAAAGTGTATGTGCTTGAATTATTTCTACTTATTAAACAATAGTTCAAAACAAGAGTTTGTAGTACTGATTATTGGAGTCCATTAATCGAACTTTCATGCCATATTAATATGTAGTATGTATGTACCAATTTACTAATGCTCACACTCGGTCTCTCACGCGCACCGTCACTCGGTCTCTCTCGCGCGCAGACACAATCGGTCTCTCTCGCGCGCTGTCGCTCGTACGCAGACCCACTCGGTATCTCTCGCGCACTTTCGAGCGCGCTCTTGGACACTCGGTCTCTCGTGCACTGTCGCTCGCGCGCAGACGGTCTCTCTCGCGCACTCGGGCTCATGGAGGCACGTGATCAGACAGTGGTTTACGGAGCGCTAGATTGGCTTTACAAAAAAAAAAAAACCCTTTGATACGGAGTGTTCTGTGAATGTAATGACGCATTTTAAATATCGCTCGGTCACGCGAATTTGATCGTGGGAAGCCAAAATCGCGATCGTGATTAAAATTCGATTAATCGTGCAGCCCTAAGCAACTGTTTGGTTAGCCACATTCTTCCAAATAACTTTTATTTTCAACAGAAGAAAGAAATTAATACAGGTTTGGAACAACATTAGAGTGAGTAAATAATGACAGAATTTTTATTTTTGGGTGAACTATCTCTTTAAGGACAAGAGGCAGCTTGTTTACTAACTAGGCTACTGTCGCTTTAAGAGCTGCACGCGACGCGTCTAATATACACGCATTTGACAAGCAGATTTTCTCTCATTTTTTTTCTGTTTGCTTTCACTTTAGACATAACCAACTTTGTTTATGTAAACCTTGTGTGTATTTGACAATATTAGCGCAATAAGACTCGAAAGATAACTTATAACGTAGTCCAGTAAACAGACGCTGTTAGACAGGCTTTTAGTGCCCGTGTGCTTCGGGTGTATGCGCTCAGAAAGCACACGTCAGAACAGCGCATCAGCACGTGAATTACATGTTTAACCAGCAAGGCTTTAAAGGTGCCATGTGGAATGTCTGCCAAAAAATAAATTCATACTCCACATATTCCATACCAAATGGGGGCAGTATACCTCCAGAAAGTTGGCCAATTCTAGTCTGTTTTTTAGTTTCGGGTTGTTAATCTTCTAAAACCGTCAAATCGTCCGCTTTGTCCCGCCAAAGCCTATTTTGATCGGTGAGTGATGTAGAATATAATGACTGCTGCGCTTGACAGGGCTTATAACGAGCAGAGAGAGAGAGAGAGCGCCCCGGCCGCGCGCGCGCACTCTCACGTCTTCAAACAACACGAGCGCAGTCCTCCTGCTCTCTCTCTCCCTCGCGCATACTAATCAAATCAATTGACACGATAGTAAGACCGCAGTTCATTTGGAGATTTTTAGAGATTAGAGACTCAATGAACAACATCTCAACACTAAATTATAAAGGCCGGTCTCATATAGACGCGATTGACATCAGGTTTAAGTACGCCCACAAGCCGTGCCAGTTATACGTGTACTGCAGTTTGGCTGGTGGTTATGTATGTTGCCCGCATACCGCCTCCCATGGCCGAAACTGGTATTACGACACCAGTCGGGCCGGCGCTAGTAATTTAGCATGCTAATTTAGGTTTATATCTCGGCAGCACTATAACTTGTCAATTTTTTAATGACATCATTGCACTTATTTCTTCTCATTCTTTTGATGCGTGTAGCTTATTTTTTGGATAATTTTACCTCAATTTTTACATAGGGCACCTTTAAAGCACATGCAAATAATGAACTTTTGTGAACTGCAGTGTCCCGTTCCTCTGCGTTAACATTTGATGTAACGTATGTTGAGACGAGACGGAGCTCGGCGCTAGAACTGCAACTGATAAAATGCACGATACTACAATATTTCTTCAAAAGCAGATCGTGGAGACATTTTAATCGTCCACGATCAAAAACCGTGATATCGCACACCCCTAGTTGAGGATAAGTGCCTATGGCTGTCATGTCGATGAGGCCTTGAAGGCCTTCACAGGGGAGAGTCTAGTTGACACAAGCTCTGCTGGCACTTCAGGGATGCGTTGTGGTCGTGTCTAGGCGCAAGTCCACCATCTGATCTGGATACGGCCCGGGACCGGCTGATTACAGTTAACCTCAGAATAAACAGAAAGACTAAAATTAGCGTAGATGCCATTCTTTTTATGATGTAGCGAGTACATCAGGTGTTATAGGAAGTGTTCCCGGTTCCGGCTGACCCAATCATTAGGGATTGTAAAGCACCTGGTTCATCATGGTGTCACGTGTGC